TATACGGAAATCAATAAATACTATTCACCACATCAATAGACTTAAAGACAAGAACCATATGATCATCTCGATAGATGCAGAAAAAGCATTTGACAAAGTACAGCATCCCTTTATGTTCAAAACACTAGAAAAATTAGGGATAACAGGAACTTAACTCAACATTGTAAAAGCTATATATGCTAAACCTCAGGCTAGCATCATCCTAAATGGAGAAAAACTGAAGCCATTCCCTCTAAAATCTGGAACAAGACAGGGATGCCCTCTATCACCACTTCTATTCAATTTAGTTCTTGAAACACTAGCCAGARCAATTAGACAGACAAAAGAAATTCAATGCACTACATTCTTAAAGTACTATCTAAATTCAGAACATTTTCATCACCCCCCCAAAGAAATCCTGTACCCAATAAGCATCCACTCCCCATTTTCTACTTTCTGTCTCTCTGAATTTGCCTAATTTATATTCTGTTTCATACAAATAGTCATAAAAATGTGGCCATTTGTGTCTGGCTTCTTTCAGTTAGCATAACATTTTCAAGATTCCTTCATGTTGCACCATGTATCAGAACTTAATTTCCTTTTATAGGAGAATAATATTATATATATATACACATACACACACACACACACACACACACACACACATACATATACACAAAATTTTTATATAGTCATCCATAGATGGAAATTTAGGTTGTTTTCACATTTTTGGCTATTTGGAATAATGTTGATGTGAACATTTATGTTTTTACATGAATGTATGTTTTTTAATTCTCTCAGGTATATATATCTAGGAGTGGAATTGCTGAACTGTCTGATTTATATTTTCCAGGCTCTTTTTTTTGGCCACTGAGTTGTGAATGGACTGACTGGAGACAAAGAAAGAAGCAGGGAGATTTGTTAGGAGGCTATTGCAACCATTCACTTGCCAAACAGTAATGCTTTGGACCAGAGTAATAGCACTGGAAGGGATGGGAACTGATGAGATTCTAGATGTATTTTGGAGATAGAGACAAGAAGATTTGCTGACATATTTTATTTGTATTATGAGATAAAGAGAAGAGTCAAGGATAATTCTTGAGATTTTCAATCTTAGAAATGACAGAAGGGAGTTTCCATTTGATGAGATTGAGGGAAGAGCAGGTTTTGGCGAAGATTGGGGCTTTGGTTTTAGACTTGTGTTTGACCCATCCAAGTTGGAGAGGCTGAGTAGGCTATTGGAAAAATAAGTCTGCATTTAAGACATACATTTAAGTTATAAGCTTATAGGTGATATTTAAAGCCATGATACAAGATGAGATCATTTAAGAGTAATGCTAGATGGAGAAGAGAAGTAACGCTGAGAAGAAGCCTGGACACAATCCAAATGGTAGAGTTCCTAGAGAGGAGGAGGGACCAGAAATGGAAACTGAGAAGGGGCAGCCAGTGAGCTTAAAGGAAGAAACCTTGGGGGTATGGAGATCTGGGAGTCAAGGGAAATTAAATGAGATATTAGAGATAGAATGACTTTTTCCCTTTTCCTGCTTTTCTTATTAATTCTTTGAGATAAGAGGCCCAGGGATGATATTTTGCCTTTTAGATATGAGGACTGCTGTTTTATTTTTATTTTTTTAATTAAAAACTTGTTAAAACTTGGGAATAATATTTCCTTGCCTTTTATCTGAATAAAAGGTAATATGTGTTCATTATAAAATGTAAACATTAAAACAATCCTTTAAATTAAAGCAAACAAGAAAGCAAAAGCTTTTAACCAAAGCTTAAAGTTCCCCCATTTAACTGAAATTTTTACCCTTTGACCAACACTTTTCTCTGACTTCCTCAGCCCCACCAGTAACTCTCCATCATTGTACTCTTCAATGTCAACTACCATTCTGCTCTTTGTCTCTGTGAGTTAGACTTTACACTTCACATGAGTGAGATTATGCAGTATTTGTCTTTCTATGTCTGTCTTTTTTCACTCAGCATAATGTCTTCCATGTTCATCTATACTGTAGAAAAGCACAGGATTTCCTTTGTGTGTGTGTGTATGTATGTGTGTTGCTAGGGATTGAACCCAGGGCCTTGTGTACGCAAGGCAAGCACTGTACCAACTGAGCTATATCCCCAGCCCAGGATTTCTTTCTTTTTAAAGGCTGAATAATATTCTATTGTATATATCCATATTTTTTCAACCCACTTATCAGTTGATGGACATTTTGGTTACCTTTACTTCTTAGGTACTGTGAATAATGTTGCAATAAACATGGAGGTACAGATATCTCTGTTTAAAAAATTGTTCTTTTTAGTTATACATGGCAGTATTGTATTAATTGACTTATTTGGTGCAACCACTCTGGAAAGCAGTATGGTTTCCTAAAAAATCTTGGAATGTAATCACAGTTTTTTTCCCAGTTATCCCATTCCTTGGTGTATATCCAAAGGAGCTAAAAACAGCATACTTCAGTGATGCAGCCACATGGATGTTTATTAGCAGCTCAATTCACAATAGCTAAGCTATGAAACCAACCTATATGTAGTACATATACACAATGGAATATTACTGAGCCAGAAAGAAGAATGATATTATGGCATTTGCTGGTAGGTGGATGGAACTGGAGACTGTTATGCTAAGTGAAATAAGCCAATCCCCTAAAACCAAAGGTCATATTATCTCTCTGATATGTGGATGTTAACACACAACAAGGACTGAGAGGAATAATAGAAGTTCAGTAGATTAGACAAAGGGGGATGAAGGGAAGGGAGGGGATCAGGAATAGGAAAGAGAGTGGAATGATTCTCACATAACTTTCCTATGTACATTTATGAATATACCACAGTGACTCTCTATGTATCATATACAATCTCAGGACTTGGAACCTTATTAGGAGGGCTGCTGTTTTAAATGCTTAGGTTCATCATTCACTATGATAATTAAGCTTTAAAGCCACTTTGGACTTCTGCATACTGTCTTTAAGACATACTGATTATTTGTGGATCTACCTAAGTTGCATTGAAGGAATTTATTCAAGAATTTGATCAACAGACATTTAACTATCTAACTTATGCTAAACCTGTCTTCTAAGCAATGGGAACACAGTGGTACACAAGCTATGTGGTCACTGATCTCATGTAACTTAGTCTATTGGAATAGAAAGACATTAAACAAATCATTTAACAAAGTAAATAATTTGTTTTAAAGACATAAATACTTACATATGTTATGAATGTTATCAAGAATTGGGGTATTTTGGGAGCAAGTTTGTTAATCCAGACTTAGGATATGGTCAGAGAAATCTGGAGGAATTGACATAAGGAGAGACCTCAAGAAGGAGTAGATTCAGCTAGATGAAGAAAAGTAGCCATTGTGAAAAGAACATCTCAGGCAAAGAAAAGAAGGAAGAGAAAGAACTTTGGGATATTCAAGGAACCAAAAGGTCTTCTTTCCAGAACGAAAGTACAAAGAAGAGTGGAGGGTGAAAGATGAGGCTGGAGTACTGAGCAGGGTTCAAATCATAATGATTTTCCTGCCAGGCCAAGTAATTTGAATTCAGTCCCAACAGAAATAGGGAACCTGTGAAGTTTTTACAATCTACTCATAGTTATTTGAGAAAAATCACTTAGGCTACAGTAGTGAATGAATTATTAGAAAGGAGGTCCTACTGGAGGCAGGAGAGCTAATTTCCTTTAAATATTGACTCTCTGTTTTTATTCTAGCATGCCATTCGAAGTGCCAAAGCAGAAAAGTGGAAAGAGTGTGATAGAGGCTGAGAGTGAGAGTTTGGATAGCTACACAGCTGACTCAGACAGCACCTCCAGGTTGGGTTTCCCCCATTTTCCTTACTATTTCCCATTTCCCTTACGTCTGCTCAACCTAAGTTCCCATTTTGTTCTCTTGCATCAGAATGCATGTTTGCTATGCCTTGAGTGTTCCTGATTTCTGTCCTCAGGAAATCGAATGCAGTATTTTCTTCCCAGAAGTCTTTCAGTAGGTCTTCTACTGATTTGGCTCTGGGTACAGCTTCTTGGAGTGTGTTAAGTTCCCCAGTTTGCTGTACCTTGGAGGATTTTTCCTAGCCCAGAAGCAATTGATGCCACTGCCCCTTAGGAATGGGAGTGTGAGTGTTTGTGTTTGTATAAAGTTGCATATTTGATCTTCTGCATTCCTTCAAGGTAAATCAGATATGAAGTGTATTTTTTGGATTTGGTTACTATGATGACCCCAAGCCAGTGACTCTCCCTCCTTGCTAGAGCTTTGAGTCCTGATTAAAAGAGGAAGGGGAGGAGGTAACTTAGTTCTAACTTCTGAATCTGCCTCCAGGAGAGACTCTCTGGATAAATCTGGCCTCTTTCCAGAATGGAAGAAGATGTCTTCCCCTAAATCTCAAGTTGAAAAGGTAAACCAGGCTATTTGTCTTTCCTTCTCTTCTTTCTCTTCCTCCCTCTTCCTTGCTCCCTCCCTTCTTTCCTTCCTTCCTTTCTTTCCCCTCTCATCTCCTCTCCACTTTTCTTTCTTTCCTTCTTTCTTTACTCAGGCCAAATTTATTTATTAATTTATTAGTATTTAGTTGTCAATGGTCCTTTATTTTATTTATTTGTATGTGGTGCTGAGAATAGAACCTAGTGTCTCACACATGCTAGGCAAGTGCTCTAGCACTGACACACAACCCCAGCCCCCTCAGGCCAAATTCAAATCAGAAATTCAACTAAACAAATTTCACTTCAGATTCATCTGGGAGCATTTCCTAAGGGTTTAGTTGAAATGCATGAGAAAATAGGTTTTGTAGTATTTCCATATATTTAATCTTTCTTGTAAGTTTTTCATAGTAGACTGAAAATCTGAAGCTTATTCCACTTCATGCTATCCTTTGTTACTCATTCCTACCACCTATCCGACTATACTTTGCCATTTTATTTCCCTTATTCTTTCCTAGGAAATTCATTCAGGGGGTCAAAGTGTGGTACCTGTTGATGAGGGTGAAATGATATTCAAGAAGAACACCAGAAAAATCCTCAGGCCTTCAGGTAGCCAGTTTCCCTTTATAGCCTTTGGGACTGAAATTCTGAATATCCTTTCTGGGCTCTTGTTATGGAGTAGAGTGGGTTTCTTTTGATTTGGGTTTTTGGTCTTCCACTCAGAATGCACTAAATCTGTGATAGATCTGCGCCCAGAAGATATGGGGCATGAAAGTGGCTCCTTGGGAGACAGAAGCAAATCTGTCCCAGGCCTCAATGTGGATATAGTAAGTACTATTATATATTTAATTTGGCCAGTACATTCATCTTTTTTTTAAATGTAGAGGTGATTTTAGTATTTGTTTTCAATCTGTTTAATTATTAAGAAAAATGCAACATGAATGTTGATTGCCCCCAATTTCTGAAGTAAATCCAATTCCTGTTTTGCTTAAAGGAAATAACTGTTTTCTCTGTTATCTTCTAATATATTGCTGGATATATAGTTAAGTGCTCAAATAAATACTTATTTCAAAAATGTAAAGGGGTGGATGGGTTGAAGTAGTTGAATGGAAAAGAGTTATATCTCCTATAAAAATGTTAAGTACTTATATCTTATTCTTTTTAAAATATGATAAAATGGCTTTCTTTCTGGGAAGCCAGAAATGGGGAACCATATAAAAATAAAAATACTTGCATATGTGTTTACATGAAGTCTCAGAACTTTGCAGCCATTATGGTTTCCACTAAAGGAAAGATATTAGTTTTTGAAGTTTATCTTTTTTTGGGGGGTGGATACCAGGGATTGAACTCAGGGGCACTTCACCACTGAGCCACATCCCCAGCCCAATTTTGTATTTTATTTAGAGACAAGGTCTCCCTGAGTCGCTTAGTGCTTCACTTTTGCTGAGGCTGGATTTGAACTCACGATCCTCCTGCCTCAGCCTCCAGAGACCCTGGGATTACAGGCATGTGCCCCTGCACCCTGGTTTATTTTTATTAATTCTTAATCTATATTTACTGCTCCAGGAAGAAAAAGAGGCAGAAGCAAAAGCAATATCAGAAGAAGAAGAAGAAGAAGAAGAAGAAGAAGAAGAAGAAGAAGAAGCAGCAGCAGCAGCAGAAGCAGAAGAAGAAGAAGACATTGACCACCTGGTGAAGTTGCATCGCCAGAAACTAGCCAGAAGCAGCATGCAAAGTGGATCCTCCATGGTAAGTTCTGTTAGTTCTGTGGTTAGAGACACTTCCAGGAAGAAAGAAGACCCTCCCTAGAGCAGACTCAGTACCTGGCAAAATCAGCCTAGATGCCTTTTCCAGGTAAAGCAGATGCATTTGTTTGTACTTATCCTCAACCATGAGGTGAATGAATGGGCTTTTTCTGCTATACAAGCAAAGATTTACTATACCTTCACAAACCCAAAGCAGCTGGGACTATATGGTCATGGTCTTATGGTTAGTGTATATCTACATGACTTCCTGAACCTATCTATACCCTGGATAATATTACATTAGGTCAGTATGGCTATATAGCTTTGTGAACAGTAACTATAACTTCTCCCTTTAAGTAGTACTCAGCTATGAAATGAGAAAGAACAGATTTCTTCATCATAGCCCACTCAAGATTTTCACATTAAAAAGAAGTGAGTATCATGACAAGAGCTCTGGCAGGTTTATTTGGCATCAGGGAGGGTATGGTTAAGAATCATGGTATCAGTCAGGATCATGAAGTTAAAGTGATGCTTAAGAATCAGGGCCTAACCTAAGGTCAGCACTTCATTATATTGGTGCAGGCACTGAATTCCTTAAAAGACCCTGAAATTGCAAGAAATAAAACCAAGAGTCAGTAAGTGGGACAGTATGAAATTAAAAAGCTTCTACCCAGCAAAGGAAATATTAATAGCCTGAAGAGAAAGCCTACAAAATGGGAGAAAATCTTTGCTACCTACTCTTCAGGTAGGGGATTAATATCTAGAATATATAAAGAACTCAAAAAACTTAACACCAAAAAAAACCCCTAATCAATAAAATGGGCAAAATAACTAAACAGACATTTCTCAAAAGAAGCAACTCAAATACATGAGAAAATGTTCAACATCCCTAGCAATCAGGGAATTGCAAATCAAAACTACACTGAGATTTCATCTCACCCCAGTTAGAATGGTAATCATCAAGAATACAAAGAATGATAATTTCTGGAAAGGGTGTGGTGTAAAAAGTACCCTTATACATTGTTGGTAGGACTGCACATTAGCATAGCCATACTGGAAAGCAATATGGAGATTCCTCAGAAAACTAGGAGTGGAACCACCATATTACCCAGCTATCCCACTCCTTGGTATATATCCTAAAGAACTAAAATCAGTATACTATAGTGATATAGCCACATTAATGGTTAGAGTAGTACAATTCACAATAGCCAAGTTATGGAACCAGACCAGGTGCCCATCGATAGAGGAATGGAGTAAGAAAATGTTCTATGTATACACAATGGAGTTTTACTCAGCTACAAAGAATGAAATTATCACATATGCTGGTACATGGATGGGACTAGAGAACACCATGCTAAGTTAAATAAGCCAGATTCAGAAATCCAAGCTAGAGTAAAGTAAGAGAGAAAAGGAGGTGGCATGTTGGATCTCATAAAGAAAGAGGTATGATCAGTAGAGTTGAAGGAGATTGAGGTGGAATGAGGAAGGATGGGAAAGGGAAGCAAATGCAGAACGAATTTCACAAAATCACCCTATGTGCATTTATAAATATGCCACAGTGAATTCCACTTTTATGCATATCTATAAAGTACTAATTAAAAAAATATAAATGAGCCAGGCATGGTGGTGCACACCTGTAATCCCAGCAGCTTGGGAGGCTGAGACAGGAGGATCGTGAGTTCAAAGCCAGCCTCAGCAATTTAGTGAGGCACTAAGCAACTCAGTGAGACCCTGTCTCTAAATAAAATACAAAATAGGGCTGGAGGTGCGGCTCAGTGGTCGAGTGCCCCTAAGTTCAATCCCCGGTATCCACCCCACCAAAAAAGATAAACTTCAAAAACCAATATTTTCCTTTAGTGGAAACCATAATTGTTGCAAAGCTTTGAGATTTCATGTAAACACATATGCAAGAATTTTTATTTTTATATGTTTCCCCATTTCTGGCTTCCCAGAAAGAAAGCTATTTTTGTAGGAGATGCTGTGAAGGTTGCTTCCCTTCCCTGCACTCATCAACACCAATCAATCTCCAGTGTGTGTGTGTGTGTGTGTGTGTGTATGGGACTAAGATTCAGGTGATCTTATTTGTCATCACTGTTCACTATATATATGCAAAGTAGACTAGTAGAGTAGAATAAGGGGAATAGGAAAGGGGGGAGTAGAGATAAAGGGGTAGGCACTGGGGACTGAAACAGGGTAACTTAAATTCCATGCATGTATGATTATATCAAAATGAACCCCACTAATATTTACAACTATTAATGCACCAACAAAAGCAAAACAAAAATATTGGCCTAGTTCTATCATGCATATAAAGATTGATATTATTTAGGGGAAACAGTTGGGAACAAGGATGAGTAGTTTCACACTCACACACAGGAAGAGAATGTCAGGCCCACACAGCTAATCACTACCAGAGAGGAAAATGCCTTTGTATTTCAGGTGGTATTTCCTCCCTATCCCTGCACCCAATTCTGGCAGTCTCTTTTCTGTATAGGTTTTAATAGAGATAATGTAGATAATAAAGGCATGTTATTTAAATTAGTAACTAACCTCTTCTAGCCAAAGTTTTCTTAATTTTTTTACTTGTAGATGGACATGATACCTTTATTTTATTTTGATATGGTGCTGAGGATTGAACCCAGTGCCTCACACATGCTAGGCAAGCACTCTACCACTGAGCCACAGCCCCAATGGTTTAACATATATAACACAAACTATAAATAGACTTAATTGTACCTTACCTCTACTCCTTGCATACTTTCTGGGGCAAGTGAAAAAATAAGAATAAAATGTGTAAAAGGAGGGGAAAAGAGAAGCTAAAAGCCTAGGTGAGCCACAAACTAATTTATTAACCTGAACAATTGTGAGTGTGCTGCTAGCTGTGACTCATCCTCTAGGTAAAGGACTGCTAGCAATATTTTCTCCTTGAAGGAGCTTCTGACATTTTGTTTTGTTTGATGACTGTGACTTTATTGTGATGGAAGTGTGAGCATTGTGGGTGGCAGAGTGTGCCTTCCTCAGACATTTGTGGGTGTTTTATCTTCAGAGTACCATTGGCAGCATGATGAGCATCTATAGTGAAGCTGGTGATTTTGGGAACATCTTTGTGACTGGCAAGATTGCCTTTTCCCTTAAGTTTGAGCAGAAGACACAGACTCTGGTCATCCATGTGAAGGAGTGCCACCAGCTGGCCTATGCTGATGAAGCCAAGAAACGCTCTAACCCGTGAGTCTTCTGGAACTTAACTGATGCTCTGAGATGATAGATTAGACCTTGGCATTTGTCTGGGCAGCCTTGTTTTTTAATTTTTTTTCATGTGTGGATGGACATTTATTTATTTATGCAGTGCTAAGGATGGAACTCAATGCCTCACACATACCAGGCAAGCACTCTACCACTGAGATACAACCTCAGCCCATCTCTGGGCATTCTAGAACTGAGGTTATCACTTAATGGAGGAATGGATAGATGGGTGAAAGAAAGGGCTCAAGACTGGGAAAAAGCAAGAATAGCATATCTTGCTAGGCTTAATGTGACATTTAATTTTTTTTAGTTATAGATGGACACATATCTTTATTTTGTTTATTTATTTTATGTGGTGCTGAGAATTAAACCCAGTGCCTCACATGTGTAAAGCAAGTGCGGTGCCACTGAGTCACAACCCACATTTTTGACATTGCATTTCATCATGGCACATTTATATGGAGAGCAGGGAAGAAAGAAGAGGCTTGAGAAAAGACAGCAAATTACTCAGTACTCTCTTTGATTGCTAGATATGTGAAGACTTACCTTCTACCTGATAAATCTCGCCAAGGGAAAAGAAAAACTAGCATCAAACGGGATACTGTCAATCCACTGTATGATGAAATCTTCAGGGTAAGTATCTAGAGGGGAAAGACCTTGTTCTGTCTTATGTGCTAGGCTAGAGCTATACCTCTGCAACATGGCTGGTTGACATGGATTTCAGTGAGCCATGTTTGTGTCTGAGGATCTGCTCTAGGCATCTGTTCACATCCTGACCTCTTAGAGAAGAGAACAAAAGTAATCTGGCTTTCTTGGAGTATTGCAAGGTTAGAGATTCAGGTGGCCCAAAATTTCATTTTAAAAAGCTATTTGGAATAAAGAGTCTCCTTGGAAATTATTGTTTTATGCTCCAGTGTCCTTATTCACTCAACAAAAAAAAATCAATTAAATTTCCAGGTCTTCCCATGGAGTGTGGTAGATTTTTGTGAAATAGAGTAAATTGAAGCTTTTTGAATGAGGAAACTTAGTGCTTAGGGACTAAAGTAATTTGATATTTAGGACTATGTACTTTAAGTATGGATTACTTAGGATTTGGAAAAAAATCTATTTTGATAAATTACTACTAACTAACCATCTTGGACTTCTACTTTCCCTTCACAGTATGAGATTCCAGAATCTCTCCTGGCCCAAAGAACCTTGCAGTTTTCAGTTTGGCATCATGGTCGTTTTGGCAGAAACACTTTCCTTGGAGAGGCAGAGGTTCAGATGGATTCCTGGAAGCTTGATAAGAAAATGGATCATTGTCTCCCTTTACACGGAAAGGTAGTCAGCTTTAACAATTGCTTCCACAGCTTGGGTCTGAGGTAGAATTGTCTGCAGTGACCTCTGCTGGTCTGTTGATAACAGTTTTGAATGTAGTCTTCTATAGAGTTCTAGCACACCCTGATGGCATTTTTGAGTTTGACAGCAATTTCAGGAGCTCTTGTATGTCAAGGGTGAGAAATCTTTTCTGTGTAAGGCAGGCAAAGTATGTAGCCATGGATTTGCTTCAAAAATCTTTCATATATGTTCCAGGCTTTGCCTCTTAACCTTCCATAATCTGGGTGTATCCTAAAATTCCTAATTTGTACCTTTTCTTCACACTAAACTTGGTGTATCCTCATCTGCACCCCTTTCCCAAGCTGACCTTGCTAAAGAAGTGGCAAATAAAGCAATTCACAGAGCTCCAATTTCTGTACTCTTGGTTGCTTACACAGGCTAGGGAATATTTTACTTTGGAGATGGCACCTCAAGTGAGAGTGTAGCAGTGTGGCATAATTGTGCCTGGGATCTGAGTGCAGACCTGGATTGGAATCTTGGTTCTGTCACTTGCCAGCTAGGTGAGTCACTTAACTTATAAATTAACTTAGGGAAGTCACCTAACTTCTGTGAGCCTCCATTTCTTCATCTATAAAATAAAGATAAAAATACTATTCCTCTTTTGCAAGGTTGTATGGGAAGTACCAGTCAGTACCTGGCATATAATGGACAGTCAATAGATTACTGTCATTCTGATTAGATAAAATTGCCAAAACAGATAAGTTAATAACTTAATTAATTTCTTCATTATCAGAACTATATGAAAACAACTATTTTATGATAACATTTAAGTATTTAAAACAATATATGAAATATAGGATATCTTTGGAAGAGTAGACACAATACTAGTAATGGTGATGGCTTCTAGGAAGGGAGTCTGAGATGGAAGGAAGATTTAGCTTTCTAAAACTTTTGAGCTTTATACTATGTTAAGAGAATTAATCATAAAAGAATTTATATGCATGTGATTGCAAATTAAAACAATGTAAATTGTATAAAAAGAAAGTGAATTTCATTTTTAGAAATACTGTTAATGAATCTTACTATCACAAATAATTATAATGCATCAATAAAAATGTGGAAGAGAAAAAAAAGAAATCACACTGATAACATCTATATTGCTGAGTCAAATGAAGTATATATCCAATAATCTTATAGCTGTTGTCCTAAAAGCATTAATACTATTGATTTCATTTAAAAATAATGATAATAAACCAAGAAAGCAGTTATTAACAAAGCTACTACATGTTATTATTAAATTTGTTAAATTTAGATTTTCTTAAGCATTTGGCAGGAAAATCATTCTCTCAGTGGCCTATAGTATATATATTATATTGGAAATGTGACTGTAAACCATCCTGAACTACTGTTAATAAAAATGTCTTACATAAAAAAGAAGCTTCATTAAAATGGAGGTCTATACTCTTTGCAAATATTTTGGTCCACAATGAAAATGCACTACTGAAAAAATATGCTAGTCTCTAGCTAATGCTAAATTTCCATTTTTAAGGGCACTGAAGTTTACAATTTAGAAATTAATAAGTTCTGTAGACATTTTATAAACAACAAAAACATCATCCCCATATTTTATATTTTCTTTAATTTATTTTATATATTTTTAGTTGTAGATGGACCTTTATTTTTATTTATTTATATGTGTTGTTGAAAATCTAACCGCTAAGCAAGCACTGTTCCACTGAGCCACAACCCCAGGCCTCTCCTTTAATTTAAAACATTCTACATTTGTTGTTTTGGGGTTTTTCTTTTTTTCTTTTTTGCCCCAACAATTCATTTGCTCCCATTCCATTTTGTCTTGCTGGCATATCTCTCCCAATTCTTCTGTATCTCTCTTATACAAAACTTTGTGTATTCTGGATGTGTTACATGGATCCAAACTGAGATAATGACTTGCATGCCAAATGCTTTAGGTATTTAAGATGGTAGGAAAGCATAATCCCCATAGGTTATGCTCAGTGGTGAGGGCATAGTTAAGAAGAGCCCTAATGAATACCAGCAGGTGAAAGAGTACCTCCAGTCTGTAGGAGCTCCTGGTCTGAAAGCCAAATCATAAAGAAGAGATTCTTGTAGAAAGAGCCAAAAAAGTAAAACAATTCTGCCACTCAAAGCCAGAGATGATAGGCTACTCATCCCAGATATGCATTCATTCACTCAATAAATTCATTAAATAAATATTTGTGGAGTACCTACTATGTGCCAGGTACTTTTTAATTTTTTATGCATTTGTTTTATTTATTTTTATGTGGTGCTGAGGATCAAACCCAGGGCCTCGCATGTGCAAGGTGAGTGCTCTACCACTGAGCCACAACCCCATTCACCCAGGTACTTTGACTAAGGGTTGGACATACTAGGATGAACAAAAATAGACTTGAAACCTGTCTTCATGGCATCTAGGTTTTAATGGTAGAGACAAATATTAAGAAAAATAATATAATATTATATTAATATAATAATACATATTTTTAGAAAATATAGCATATTTGAACCTTGTGACAGAGTTCTACCTTGCTCTCAAATGTCTCTAAGCTCACTTTTATTTTTTTGGTGCTGGGATGGAACCCAGGACCTTGTGCATGCTAGGTGAACTCTGCCACTGGGCTGTGTACTCTCATGCCACATGCCCTTTTCTAAAAAAATACCTTTTGTATTTAAAAATCATGCAAGTGATACATGCATTTTCACTTTTAAAAACACCGTAGAAATCAATATAGGAAAAGTCTTCTTTCCTTTCCCCATTTTGCTACCTTCCCTAGAGGAAACAAATGTTTGTCCAGATCTTTCTGGGTTTTACTATGCAGTATATAATGATTAAAAGCATTGACTCTGGATCCAATCTGCCTGAATTTGAATCCTGGTGCTGCCAATTATTAGATGTGTGACCTTGGGCAAGTTACTTGATCCCTCTGTTCCATAGCCTGTAAAATGGGGATAATTAACTCATTTCTATAGGGACTGTATTGAGGATCAAACAAAATGATTTTTTAAAAAAGCTTGTAACAGTGTCGGCACATTATAAGTGCTATAAAAGTGATGATAATAGGGCTGAGGTTGTAACTCAGTGGTAGAGCGCTTGCCTAGCATGTGTGAGGCACTGGGTTCAAATCTCAGCACCACATATAAACAAATAAAGGTCCATTGACAACTAAAAAATATTTTAAAAGTGATGATGATAATCATCGTTATTTGAATATGTATATATTCACATGAGTATATTTTGATACGAGTGAGTTTTTTTGCATCTTGCTTTATTAGCTTAATAGTATGTCTTGGGATCTTTACATGTCAGTATTCCTTTTTGTTAGAATAAAAATGAAATCACAAAATTTGGTTTCTTTTTAACCAATAGTTAAAAGTTAGTCATTTTGTAGACATATAATTAAGTACATCTTACCTACAGCTAAGATCTAACCTGAAAAAATCATTTTCTATAAAGGGGCAATAGACACATAGCCAAGATATATAGTTGTAGCCAGAATCATCCAAGTAACTCCTGGTTTAACCTGTCAGATTGTCCCAGGAAGTCCATATTCAAGGTGTTAGCCAAAGGAGTACTTTCTTTTCTGCAGTGGCACTCCGCCTTACTTTACTTATACTTGGGTCATCAGACATAGTTGTCACCTTCAAAGTCTACATACTTTCTCAATACTGCATGCCATATGCCACATGAAGGCATTAAAATCACTCATTGAATCCTTACTATATTGATTAATATTTTGATTGTTTCCACTTTGGGGCTATTAATGACCATTCTGATAGCAAGATTCTTCATCATGGTGTCAATCCTTTCTGAGTTTGTATGGCAACTGTGCTGGCAGAGTATTGGTTAATTTTTTTTTGTACTAGGGATTGAACCTAGGGTTTCTTAACTACTAAGCCACATCCTCAGCCCCCCTTTTTTCACATTTTATTTTGAGACAGAGTCTCACTAAGTCCTTAGGGCCTCACTAAATTGCTGAGGCTAGCTTTGAGCGTGCAATCCTCCTGCCTCAGCCTTCCAATTTGCTGGGATTACAGGTGTGTGCCACCATGCCTGGCCAGAGTATCAGAATCTAGAAATTGTATTCCCAAAGTGGCACAATAGTGAGTATTATAGAAGAGCCTTTGTTGGTTCTTCTGCCTCTCTTCTGGAAGAAATTGCCTTAGAAGCCTGTGGCAAACATGACCTAGGGACCCTGGATTATATCCAGAAGTAGAAGGATCCTCTTATGCCATGAAGCTGTTCTTCAGGGATATTTTTAGTATCCCTTCAGGGTGAAGTCCCTACAGTTCCTGAGAAGTCTGATTTGACCTGTTGGGTTTCCCTGTGTTTCAGATCAGTGGTGAGTCTCCGACTGGTGTACCATTATACAAAGGAGAGTTGGTGGTTTCATTGAAATACATCCCAGCCTCCAAACTCCCTGCTGGAGGCAACCAGAAAAAAAGTGAGTTTTATTTGGGGCCCCAGATTTAGCTCTTAGTCTTCTGCACAGGATCTGTATGAGACTGGTGCTGGCACTGTTGAAGAGACTAGACTGGGATCTTCACTGGATCTTCTTCCCTAGAAGGTTATTCTACATTTTCAACCAGAATGTAGAAAAGGTATACATTCTACATGTTTTAGGGTTAGTATCCATTTTAAAAAAAATCTCTATTTTTATTTTTATGTGGTGCTGAGGATCAAACCTTTGTCAGTTCCTCACACATGTGAGGCAACCGCTCTACTACTGAGCTACAACCCCAGGCCTTGGCATTCATTTTTAAAAATTAATTTTTAGGATATTAAACTAGGTTGGTCTTGGTCCAGCTATGGCAAGATGCTAAGAGGGCAAAAGACAACAAAACCTTAGAGGCTGAGAATGGTGGTTGGAAAGGGTAATAAAGTATGAGAAACAGGAAGTTGAAGGCTGTGAGGAAGAATTATCCAACTTGCCAAGCAGTATGCTAGTGACTACAGACATGTAGATGAATAAGACATAATATTTGCTCTCCCTTGAGGCAGTTAGCTTAGCAAGAAAGATAGTCATGTGCTAAAAGGTGCCCAGATACAGGAGTGATGAATTCTATTAGTTACATTTAGGAAAGCTTTGAAGAAACATTAACACTGAAATTAGATCTTCAGATTTTGCCAGGCAGAAAATGAGGGAGGACAAGGAGACAAGAACATACCCCAAAGACGGGATAGCATGAGCACAGGTTTTAAAAATGCCTGAGAAATGTGTGGTTGTGTGTGAATGTTTGGGAGTAAATCACTTCATTCAGTGGGGCTGGAGTTATGGTATATATTTGTCTATTTGGGACTGGGGCTGGGATTGGAGATAAGTCCCAATGAGAAGGGCTTTGAATGTAAATTCAACTTGATTTGTTGGCAATGGGAAATCAGAGTTCTTAAAATTATACCTCCAGCAAGGGCTAATCTAGAAGATTTCAGGAAATAATGAGGTCTGGGAGGAGAGTGTGCAGAATGACTAGAGATGAGAGGCAAGAAAGTAACCACAGGGAACAGCAACAGTTAGATAAGAGAGGAATAAATGTCAGTGAAGTAGGGTTTATTGAGAGAGAAACTTCAGGAGAGAGATTCAGGAAGAAGAGGGCGGGGTTGTTGATAGTATTAACAGTACTAAAATACTACAAGGAGCTCAGGCTGGATGAGGACTGAGAAGACAGAGCTCACTGGTATTTCATTGCATTTTCAACTGATTCATGGAAGCAGAAACCAGATTTCACTAGAAACTAGGTTGAGTGCATGAGGCAAAGAAATAGAGGTGGTAAATGTGGGCTTTTCCCCTCCAGGGTGATTGATGGGGAAAGAAAAGAGAGATATGGCGAATAGCCTGAGGAAGAAGAGATAAGGTTGAGGGGAGGTTTTCTTTTAAGTGGATTTTTAAATAAAGAAGACATGAAATTAGCATAAATCTAGATTGAGGGGAAGGGATCAGTAGAGGAAGAAATATTAAAGTGGTGATGGGGGTTTTGATTGATATTGCTTGATTAGTTCTGTGAAGTAAGGATGGGATCAAGAAGTCAAACAGAGGGATTCCTTTTTTTGTAATTTTTAATTATTTCATTCATTTTTTGTATGTTTTTGTATCAAGTGTGCTCTACACTGAACTACATGGCAGGGTTTTGATAAATTGCCAAGGCTTGCCTGGAATTAGTCATTTTCCTGCCTCAGCCTTCAGAAGTACACCATCAAACCCAGCTCTTTTTAAAATCATTCAGCAAATGTCAGGAAACTTTATTTCTCCAAGCTTCAATTTTCTCATCTATAAAATGATAGTAATAGTGTGTATCTCATAGGATTGTTTTGAGAATTAAATGCTTAAGGTAGTGTCTGGCACGTAGCCAGTTTTCAATAAGTGTTTATTGCTATTGGGGTTGTAATTAATTGAGGACCCACTGCTTACAGGCACTGTGCTAGTTACTGAGAGTACAAGTCAGGCATGGTTCAGTTGTTTTATGGATCTTGCTACCTTCAGGACTATGCAGATCAATCTTAAGATAAACCTGGAGGTATAGGGGCTCACTTGCTATATCTAACATTCCTTACAGATAAAGGTGGTGAAGGGGGAGAGCTCCAGGTATGGATCAAAGAAGCTAAGAATCTGACAGCTGMCAAATCAGGAGGGACTTCAGACAGCTTTGTCAAGGGGTGAGTCCCTGGACCAGCACCAAACTAGGAAGTTTCAAGATAAGATAGTTAACAGAGAAATCCAATTGACCTTTCCCTGTTGTTACTCTGCTTATGTGTCCTACTACCCTCAGGAACCAACTATGTTTCTGAAATTAGGTAATGGAAAAACCTCCACTACCACCTTTGCATTGGCCTGAACTCAGTTTGGACTGTGCTGTGGTGCTAATATACAAAGAGGAGGGTGGTAGACAGATAGATTCTGACTTTTTTTCTGATTCATGTTCTTAATTAGTCCTAGGTAAGAATCTGTATTCCCTGACTAGATTTGGGGACTCAGTGCTTTGTTCCCCATAATTTTTAAGCAATGCTAGCTCCCTCCAAATTATAGGTCACTCACTGACTCATGTTCTCTAGCAAATCATGTTCAGCTAAGTCAAACCAAACCAATCCAGATCAATAGATATTACTATTTGTTTTATTTACCTTGCATAGGAGGAATGGAAGCAAATATATAAAACTAATTTTTGGTAGAGCATAGACAAAGCCTGACTAATAATATATTCATTTTTTCTCCAAGTTAAAGGAATTAAATCAGGGGAAGTATCTAGTGGGGAGAGTAGGAACTCTGCTTCAACAGATTCAAAGAAGGGGTGCATGCACATGGATCTAGGTGTTGACTCACCTTCCTGGGCTAGGCCTGTGGTAAGGGAAAGAGGAATTTAGACACATACTGCCAAGCTTTCAGTAGGTGTTGATTATTCCCCACCCTCTGCCAGATACCTCCTTCCTACGAGGAACAAGGCCAGTAAGCGTAAAACTCCAGTGATGAAGAAGACCCTGAATCCCCACTACAACCATACATTTGTCTACAATGGTGTGAGGCTGGAAGATCTACAACACATGTGCTTGGAACTTACTGTGTGGGACCGGGAGCCCCTGGCCAGCAATGATTTCCTGGGAGGGGTCAGACTAGGTGTTGGCACTGGTGAGAGTTTTCTTCCTCCATCTTCAGTTGTCTCTTATCTATTTCATTCCCAGCACCTCCCACCTCCAGAAACACAAAGCTCCTCTATGATGGGACTTGTCTTCTTTCCTTTCAGATGACACTCAACAAATATTTGTTGAGTACGTTCTATGTGCCAGGCCTAGAGCAAGGCAGAAGTCATTGATATTATGTATATAGATAAATGTGATGCTGATAGCCAGGAACTCCATCATCCTTACACACACACACACACACACACACACACACACACACACACACACAATCTACACATCTACCTATATATCTATATGTATAATGCTATATTCTATCCTGTTACAATGAATTAAAGGTTCTTACTTGTAAAAGCTAATCTCTGTGTTCTGTACCACCCTCTCCCCTTCTCAATGACCTCACTTCTGTAATCTCCATCTCTCCCATATGATAAGTTTCATTCTCCCTACCTGTTGAAGGTGAATACAGACATGCTCTGGTGTTTCCAAATCTTATTAAATAAAAATAAACCTTTTCTTGACTACATGTCCCCTTTCTAATTTCTTAAAAATAATGGTCTCTACTTCCTCAACTTTCCTTTGTTTGCACTAGAATTTTTAGCACTATTTAACATAGACGATCACTCCCTTTTTCCTGAAATACTTCTATTGATTTTATACTCTTTGATTCCCTTTCAACCAACTGATTTTCACTTCTCAGTTTTCTTTGTGGGTTCCTCATTCTATACTCAAAATCTAAATACAAGTAGTCTCAGGTCCTCTTCTTTTCTCTCTCCACAATCTGCATTCCTATGACCTTAAATACTACTTGTTTATTAATAACTAACATAAAGCATCTAGAATGATGTTTTACACATATAAGCTAGTCCATGTAAGTCTCCTGATTAAAACTATTCAGTGACTTGTTTCATATTTAGAAAACAATAGGGGTGTGTACCAAGCCTATATGCCAAGCCTATAAGCCCTGGTATAATAAGGACCCTCTGTTCTTTCTGATCCTTCTCATATCACTCTCCCACCTGCTCACTGTGCTCCAACCATGATAATTTAGTTCTTTTCTCCAAATATACCAAGCTCATTTCCACCTCAGAACCTTTGCAATTATTGTTTCTTCTGTCTGGAAAGACTGGCTGCTTCTTATCCTTTAGGTCTTAACTCACCAAGAGTTCCTCAGACCATTCGTTCTACAGTAGGTCCTAATCCAGACACTCTAAATCCCCCTGATGATTTACTTCATAACATCCTCACAATCTTTTGTTAATTTTCTTGTTTTCTTTTCTTTTTTTATTCAAATTAAAGCTGCCTGAAGGCAGGGTGATTTTTCTGCTTTCTTCATCATTATATCTCCGGAGGCTATAAGAATACCTGGCACATAGTAGGTACTCAGTAAATATTTATTAAAAGAATGAATGAACAAAAGAATAGGAATGATGTCACATCTAACTTTAGGCTGGAGTCTACAGCTAGAGAAAAAGTTGTTCAGATTTTTAAAAATTCAAATCCATTTGGAAATAATAGAAGGACAAATGCTCTGGCATTGGCAACAGACTCCAGAGCTCTGTATCATCCTCTGAATAAGAAGTCTCTAGTGACCCTGTGGTATTTGTAGTACTGTTTCATCAACCCAAAATCTCCTTATAGTCTCAGGAGCACAGAAATATCTGAGCAGGATCGATAGGGAATACTTCCCAGATTGCTGTCCCCATCAGCCCATTTTCATAGCACATTTTCTTTGGAGCAGCTACCCTTGCTGTATGACCCATCATTGATGAGTCAAGCAATGGGGTCTCTGGTCAGCCTTCTCTGGTATTTCTCCTCAGGGATCAGTAATGGGGAAGTGGTGGACTGGATGGACTCGACTGGGGAAGAAGTGAGCCTGTGGCAGAAGATGCGACAGTACCCAGGGTCTTGGGCTGAAGGGACTCTGCAACTCCGTTCTTCAATGGCCAAGCAGAAGCTGGGTTTATGAGTTCCTGTCATATTCTACAGGTCCAGCCCTGGCCAGGGCAAATCAGAGGAAGTAACAAAACTAAGAGCAAATATTTCTAATTTAATATGTGTGTATGTTGGATGTGTATGTACAAGCACGTATTTCTGCAAATCTTATGCTAGCTAGAGTGATGCAGCCTTGTTTCCTTTTAAAAAGCAGGCTCAAGAAAAAGGGCCTCTTTGAAATGTTTTTATTTGTGCACGATCTAGTATATTTCAGAGTCTATTCTTTCTTTCATCATTATGAGATTTAATTAACTTAAAAACCTTTTAAAACAACTTTCTATTTTCTGTCTTAATATTTTTGTTCTTATTTCTCCAGGGAGCCCTGGCTACCTATGGCATTAGTTTTAGTCTGTAGTTTAAGGTGTACCTGATCTGAGGCTAAGGTTCTGGGAAGCAGTTTTGGGTCACTAAAGACAGGGCAATATGGGAGAGAGGTAAATAGGTCTTCTCCTTATCTCTAATTTGTACTTTTAACTCATGTTCTACCTGGATAATTTTCTGGAACTTGGCTTTTAACTTTTCTTCTTGTTGAGTAGTTTTCACCTTGCTTGGGTGTATGGTTTTCTTTGAAATGAAAAGAAAACTCCCCAGCTCCTTCCAGTTCTATATGCCTTTACTATACCTCTGGGGAATCCTTATAATGGAGTTAGTTTAGAAAAGCACTTTAATTAGATAATGGCCTTTTGACAGAGTCATGAACATGCCCAGTGAGACCTTCTGGCTGATCCCAGAGGACTTGCATGACTGAGGGTAAAGTGTTTCACAGCTCATACTGATGTCTCAGAATTTTAAACTGATAACAGCAGTTAATTGAGAGAGAACTCACTTCTCTAATGAAAGATGAGACATCTTCACTCATGTTCCACATCTTCCTCAGTGTTTGTGTCTGAGATGTGTTGCTATGCAGAATATGGTCCACATACCTCTGTATCAGTCAGAAGAGCCAAAGACTGTCTAAAATGGCACAGTGCTTGCCCAGACTGGGGACTGTTAGTACTCCAAGAGAACGTGGATAGAGAATCTCCCAGTTATTCTGACCTCCTACCTGATGTAGTTTCAGCTCCCATTTTTTCTATTGTTTCTTCAACTTGACCTACATGTAACATGGGTGTGGTAGTGTTGAGGCTTTTTGAAGAACGTTCTGGTAAACTAACTTTCACTTCCTTATACTCTTACAAACTGACCTTTTTATTCATATGAGTGTATTCCACACAAAATTGTGTGTAGAAGGAGTCTATACCAGAAAAGAAATCCCTTTCAGTAGAGGCAGTTGCTAGCTGATGGTCCTATAAGGCCACTGGATTGAGGGCAGGTATGGCAGTTTCTATTGTATGTGTGAACTAAACTGAGGAATGTTTTAAAAGGTTTGTTTGGTGTGGATTGACACTGTAATGAAAAGCATAACTTGAGATCCTGTGTTGTAACTTGCTCTTTTGTTTCCCACCCTTGAAATGAATGTGTGCTTCAATAAAGCTTTCTGACTTGTCTGTGGAAGCCTCTGTGTATGATGTCCTGACTTACTATTGTTCCTTTCTACACGTGGCTTGAAGGGTAAGAACCAGAGTGACAAATGCCTTTCCCTAATCATCATATGCTGATTTGAAGAAAATTTGCCTTTCTCCACATTGCTGCCTGATACTTTTGCTGGGTTTGAATCCCTTGTCCTGTATGTTTGGTATCTACGGAGAGAACTAAAAATCCATCTTAAAAGAGGCACCACTTTTCTATTTCTGAAGTACCAAGGGAAGTCCACCTTTGGCTTTATGGATCCTCCCTTGCTAGAGTAGGGGAGAGATGTTCACATAGGAGCCGAAGAAACACATTCCCTGTTATAAGCACTTCTTTCTAGATTCTTCAATTCTTCTGGGAATTGGGGCCTTCTTCCTCTGCTTCTACTACCATCATTGAGTTTTTTTAAAAATATTTTTTTAGATGTTGATGGACCTTTATTTTGTTCATTTATTTATGTGAAGTGCTGAGAATCAAACCCAGTGCCTCACACATGGTAGGCAAGAGCTCTACCACTGAGCCACAACCCTAGCTCCCCATCATTTAGTTTTGAGAAATAAATAACACAGATGCTAAGTAACCCATCTCTGAATTTAGGCTCTGGGTTTCTAGGTAGAGGCCAAGTGATTCTTGATCTCTTGTGCAAAAAGGTATTAATATTTATCAAATGCCTTTTGATATAAGACTTTATATATTGATCTTTCTATTATACCTTATGCAGTAGGAAATCTTCCCTTCCTACAGATGAGGAAACTTGAGTCCTTATGATAGAGTTGAGATTCGAATCAAGGTCTGATTCTACGAAGCATGTGAGAATGGTATGTGTGTTATGGAAAGAATCAAAGGAAGGGATGACTCATCTCTTCTAAAATATGGGTTTAATTTACAAAATAGAAAAATCAGAATGTTTTGGTTATTACTTAGCCAGCTTAGTGACTGTATAGCTGTGTGTGTGTGTGTGTTTGTGTGTGTGTGTATGTGTATATATGTGTGTCCTCAGAGAGGTTCAAAGAGAGAAATAGAGATATGTATATATCAGGGTCTTGCTAGTCCCTTTGGGCTGGCTGTGGGCCTGGTTCTGCTTCGGGTCTCTCTCTTTTTAAATTATTTATTTTTATGTGGTGTTGAGGATGGAACCCAGGCCTCGCATATGCTAGACAAGCACTCTACTACTGAGCCACAACCCCAACCCTACTTCAATCTCTTTCCCCTGCTTTAGGAGTTGGGATTTCTTGAGTCATAATCTATAAAGGAGGTTATAGTAAAACTAGCAAAAGAAAGCAAGATTGACTTGTTTTGACTACTCAAAATGAAATTATAGCTCTTTAGTTGTTTTAAGCTAGAGAAGCATTACATGCAAGAATCAGGCCCAGGTGGGAACTCTGCTCAGGGAGTAATGAGCCCCCTCTGTTATCTGTTGGGCCTTTGGCTTGCAGTCTATCCTGGCTTGCCACTTGGAGTATTAGTGATAAAGACAAGGAAGGGCATTTATCTTCCCCAGTGTGCAATCTTTGCCTTTGGAACCACAGACCTTGTCTAACCAGAAATTTCCCACATGAACTCATTGTATTTTGCCTTCTACCCATAACTCGCCCTTGGCCTTTCAAAGCTTCTGTATTCCCCTGAAGGGAAGATGAAGAAGGGATTTTTTTTTTTGTTCTAAGTTTGATCATTTCTTCCATGTTCCATTCCACTCTGAAGCTGCCTAACATTTTATTTTGCATTTTGAAAATGAGATTTCCACTAAACCCCCAGTGGAAATAGCTTCTCTCTGACTCACTACTACCCCCATATGTTCTGGACTCATGATTTATGTCCTATCACTCTGCTTTAAAGAGCAAATTTTCTTGGGTGGAAAGATGTTCATTTCCCTCTTTCCTCCAGGGACTACTCTGAGTCTTGTATCTGAATAGGATTTTAGAAGATGGAAACTTTCTTGCTTAGAGTGTTCAGCTGACTTTAAATGGGGAGCAGAAAAAGAAGTAGAAGCCAGATGGCAAACTAAGAACATTGACTCTGGAGACAGACTGCTACTGTTTTAATGCTGACTCTGTCACTAATAAGTGGCACTTATTAGTTATCTTAGGTAGATTGCCTATCCTCACTGAGCTTCAATTCTCTCATCTGTAAAAGGGAGGTAATAACAGTTCCTACCTTATAGGTTTCTTGTGAAGACCTCAGAGTGAATCAGTAGGGTATTTAGAATGGCACTGGCACATAGTGAACGCTTGAGCCTCCCAGCCAGCCTACTTCCTCTCCCCTCTAGCTTTCCATTGATGACCCCTGGTTAAAATCAAAGGAAAAAGACTGCTTAGTCTTAATTATGACTCTGGGTTCCATGAACTTATAAAAGAAGGTTCTCAACAGCAAGGTGAAGAACACTTTTCTTTCAAACATTAACATCCCACTGGGTAGGACTGAAGAAGAATCTGGGGCAGGGGATGTAGTTCCATGGTAGAGTGCATGCATAGTCTGTGCAGGGCCATGGGTTCATCCCCTAGCTCACACATATACATATAAAACAAACAAAAACCAGGACTCTGTGGCTCCATTTTCTAAAAGCCCAATAACCCATCCTCAATTTACTTTCAGGCCTGCTCCTTAAGACTTGACTTTGTGCCACTGTAGCTCCCACCTGCTCTGTGGCTATCTGAGGAAGTTAATATCAGAGGTGGAGTCTGCTTTCTTTCCCTACTATCTTCAGTGGTAGTTTTGAAGTACCCTAGATCATGGAATGGGAAGGAGGTTCCCCTAATGAAGGAACAATACTGTCTACCTTTTGTTATGGGGGAATGGAGGCCTCAGTAGGTAGAGGTTCTTGCCTGTGAGCCAGCTGGAAGGGCCAGGAGAAAGCATTATGCTGTGACTAGCTATTTCTTCTCAAACTCCCTCCTATGGCAATGTTTTTGTAACTCTTGATGAAGCAATAGTTCAAACAATATTTTAGCCCAATGCCCTACAAGGGGAAATGACAAATAGGTTCAAGAATGTTTTGTAGGTCCATGCCATCCCATCCCAGTCATAGAGATAGTTACATTGTAAGGAAAATGCAGCTACACTTCTTGAAGTGTACTGGATGTCTTTTGCAATGGTGCTGCCCTCTGCTGTCACCTCAGGGTATAGAAAGCATTTAAAACACAACTGGTAAGTGAATCAATTTAGAATTTACTTATCTGAAAGACTTTGGAGAGCAGGGCAGAGGCCCGGATTAGGAAATGAAGACTTCCTACCCCCAATGCACTGCTCAAAGCCTGTACTCAGTCCCTGCTTAGCTTTGGAGTCTCCTCCAGTGCTAATTGAATCATAGACTTGCTTAGGGAAACTATGGCACAGTCCTAAAATGATGTCTAGAAATATCTCTGGATTGGCAAACCTCACTCACCTCAGAGTCCTGTCCCTAGAACTGTGGGAAACAATTTCTTTCTTTTATTAGGCCTCAGTTTCAGCTAACTAGGGGAATTTTCCCTTGACATCAACCTTGCCCTGGTTCAAGTTCACTCGCAGACATCCCTTTGCTCCCGGCGCTGGATCAGTTCCTGGTTGCTGAGCAAGTAGTCATCAATGAATGTGAAGATTTCCTCAGGGGTTACAGGTTCCATGTAGCGTTCCCGATCAATACCCTGCTTGTCAATCAACACCATATTGAAGTAGGAGCGAGTAAGGCGCTGAAATTGCCTAGAGAGAGCAGCCCAGGAAGGTGTGAGCATTTGTCCCACAGGGCTCTACTACCCTCTGATCTTTCACAGCTCCACTGATGGACTAGTTCCTCCCAAATCCCATCTCCATCCCCTCTACTACCTATCTATCTCAAGTTCCTTTGCTTTTTTCCGCTGAAGTCCAAATCTTGCTGATTCTATGTGTTTAGCACTGCTAAGCTCTCCCTTCCTCATCCCAGCTGGGGCAACTTTGTTATTACCAGGCTGTGCTTCTATTGTAGACTCCTTTAATCAGGACTAAGAATCCTGCATGGAATAACTCCAGGGGTGCCCATCATAGACACCATGATACACATGCACATTATACATGGCAGCCCTGAAGGTGATAAATACTACCTGATTAACTATTCCATCCAAGGCTGCAAGTCTGCAGTGTCCTTCCTCTGAGTATTTCCTAGTCTTTCTAATTGAGACTGAATATCCCCACTAATATTGAGCCTTGGAGGCAGGTATTGTTTCTAGAACAGACAACACAGATGGCTTTACTGTCCCTGAGTATATGTGGAAGCACTGGAAGGCTGATAATATATAGATGATGAGAAAAGTCAACTTCTACCACCTGTCACTTCTAACCTCTTCCCTATGGGCTGATGAATACGATTCAGATTTTAGTGCCTAAAGAAGCCTTTTGGAGACAGAAGGTAAAAAGAGAAAGTCATGAAGCAACAGAATCTCAGGCTGCTATGAGTCAAGTTTGGGTTAACTATCTCAGTCCTGACTGTGCTTCAAAGTTATCTGAGGTGCCATTATAAAAAAACACAAAGGTGGGGCCTGGTAATTGCATTTTCAAGCCCCATTTGATTCACATGCCTTGCCAGTGTTAAGAATCACTCTCTGGTCTTACCTAATGCATCCATAAGAGTTCAAACACAAGAAGTAACTCAAGAGAGTAGTTTTGTCACAACCCTCTGTTGCTAGTGTCCTTCCTGCCTAGGGTTTCTGCCCATCCTCAACCTATAGTCTCCCAGCCTGGACCTGAGCTCCTCGATGATGCTGGCTGACAGCTGTTGCTCCCGGATGCGCCCCACCTCCTGAGGTGGCTGCCCCACCAGCTCAATGATGGTCACATGCCGCAGGTCCAGTCCACAGGTGGATTGCTGGGAAGAGGGAGAGAACATTTAATGGAACAGGCCTTTTCCCTTGAATCTCAGGCTACTTGATTGATTCCTTCTGAGACCACATGAGGCAGTGTGGGACAGGAGGGGCTTCTCCTGCAATGATCACACAATCATAGGATCACACAATCATAGGATCACACTGATCACAATATGAGATCTACAAAACCTTTTTCTTCCATCAGTCCTACAAAATTGTTCCATTCCTTCTACTGAAGTGTATGAAACTGGTTATACAATGAGGAATAGAAAAGAGAAGCATTATTATTAAGCTGCTACTTCGGGAACAATCATTGCTTAGCTTTTCATAGGTTTTAAACTACTTAGGATATTAATGGATGGCTATTGTGATATGATAATAATGACTATTGTTTCTTTTTTTTTTAAAGAGAGAGTGAGAGAGGAGAGAGAGAGAGAGAGAGAGAGAGAGAGAGAGA